CTAAGGAAACGTTGCCTAAAGCCCAGGGAACCAGTCTGAATTGTTCCACGCAGCAGATCACTTACTCTTATGTTAGATGCATTTCTCTCTGACTCACTTGTAGTTCTTCAAAAGATAACACTTATGTATTAAATATGACTCTAAGTCAAAGTTCTTGATTTTTTAAAAATAAAAGCTGGAAGAGCTGGGAAGCTGTATAAGGAAAATAGAACCTCCTGCTGATTTCTGGCCTGCAACTTTCTTGAAGAGACTTTCAGCTGTTTTGCTTACCCAGTGCTTTATTTTGCTTCTGATTGTGAATGGGATTGAAAAGATAGTTTTCTTTTGTAGAATCCAAGAAATTTTTTCACATTTGACTTAAGAAATCTGAATTTAATGTTTTATTGTTACTGATATTGACAATTTATAAATGGCCAAGAATGAGATAAATCATATATATGCACATATGTGCACGTGTGTGTGTATACACATATATGTATATATGATTATACACACAGATTTATACTTATACATATGTGTATAATATTTCTGTAGATTCCTTGCCAAAATTTATTTTAAAACTTTTCCTGCTTACAGAAAGTTGAATCATGTAATTAAACACCCATATACTCAGTATCTAGATTTAAAAATTAACATCTTATTGTATTTGCTTTATCATACATCTATCCATCTGTACATAACTATCCATAAATCTATCTTAAATTTTAGCCCATTGCGAACTTCATGCTTAAGCACTTCATCATGAGTATCATTAACTAGAGCTCAGTAATGGGTTACTTTTTTTTTTTAAGATGAAATTTGCCTGCAGTGAAATGCTCAAGTTCTCACTGGGTATAACATTTACTCATTGAGTGTAACATTCAAGTTTTACAGATGTATATACCTGTATTATACAAACTCCTATTGAAATATTGCATCATCCTAGAAATTTCCTTTATGCCTCTTCCTAAACAATCTTTACCCTTAAAGTCAACCACCATTTTTTTCCTATTATTGTCCCAATGGATTAGGTTTGCCTGTTCTAAAGGTTATATAAGTGAATATTAGAGTATGCACTTTTTTTTTGTAAAACATTTTTATTCATTTAGCATCATACTTTTGGGAGTCATTTGTTGCATGTATCAGTACTTTGATTCATTTCAGTATGGAATAGCATTCCATTGTATAATACACCATAGTTTCTGATTCAGTTCTTCCACTGATGGAAACCTGGGCTGTTTCCAGATTTGACTATTATGAGAAATTTCTCTGAACATTCTTGTGTAGTTCTCTTCATGGACATGTACTGTCATTTCTGTTGGGTAGTTACCTTAGAATGGTATTTCGGGTTTCTGAGGAAGGTTTAGGCTTAAATTTATTTGAAAATGCCTGTTTAAAAGTGATTATATTAATTTACAAAGCTAATAACAATTAAGTAGAGTTCCAGTTGATCCACAAACTTTTAAACATTTGATGTTGTCAATCTTTTCAATATTGTACCACTTAATCTAAAGCATAAGAACCTTGTAAATATATAGGTAAGTTTACCATGATCTCTCCACCCTCCACTTCTTTGTTATAATTGTCATATGTATCAAATCAACATACATTGCACCTCCTTCAAAGCAATGCTATATTTTGTATTTTTTCTTTAAACATTGGTATCTATTTAGAGAAAACTTAGAAAAGTCTATTGATTTATATTCATGGTTACTTACACTTCTGTTATCTCCAATTTCCAATAATCACATGCAATGATTATTTTTCTTATCCTAGATGATGCGTTTTTTTTAGTTCTAGAATTTATATTAGGTAATTTTTTTTTTGTAGTTTGTATTCCTCTGTTGAGAATTCCTGTTTGTCTTTTTATTATAAGTACATTTCGAGTTATGTTCTTTGGAAGAATAGTCATCCTTCTTTCATTTTTGTGTTACATCAGTTAATTAACTTATCTGAACTCAGACTCCAAACTGTCACCTTTCCTCTGGAATGCAACAACTGTGATCTCTGTTTTAGCACCAGCTGGGCTACTTGGGGTCTGCCTGGGGCATACGTAGGTCTGGCATCAGTGAGGGATTTGGGAATAGTTTATACACATATTTTGAGGCTCCTTTTCTGTGGCTTGGTTTCTCTCAGTGTTGTTTCCTCACTTTACAGCAGCTGTGGTTGCTCTTAGTTCTGCCCTCTGGTTCTTCAAGACAAGTTTTTAAAAAAAGAGTCACACTGTGTGGGTTTCTAGTTGAGTTTAGCCACCTCGCATGGTGCAGTCTAGAGCACTTCCAATATCTTCCCTCTTCTAAGCATGCACATCCCTCCTGGCTTACCTGCTTTGGGCTGGTCTCCAATGTCTTCAGGTATTTGGGGTTTTTAACAAATATATTTTGTTTATATTTTATAGCTGTTATCTGTGAGAGGCTTGGACCAATAGAAGCTACTCCACAATTACTAAAAATAGAACCTCTGTATGCAGGCTTGAAAAATGCTTCTGTCATTTGAATCTAGAATGTGGGGTTTTGAAAATGCAGATTAGCAAGATCACAAAAGCTTGTATGAGTGTACTACGGTATTTGAGCAAGCATATATAGAATAAAAGCATTTAAATAAAAACAATAAAAATTTGGTGAATTTTCGAAATATCTGCATGTTGTAGCAAAATTTTTATTTTTCACATCAGATTTAGCCATCTTTAGATCATCTATTTACTAAATGTATATAGTACAGAAGAAAATAAATTATCTACATAGTGTACATATTTTAATCTTTAATAAAAATATATAATACAAGAAAAATAAATATTATTTATGTTTTGTTCAGACTTTGTTCTTTAAGCCACAAATCCAACCATTTATTTAGTCTAGCCACCATTCAGAAAAACAGTCAATTATAATTGTATAGATAATGATGACTGACTTTTACGTCATTATCATTACATGACCTCAAGTTGATTTAAGATGCTATAAACCAATATTCTATAAAGGTTCACCAGCTATTTGTAGTTCATTCACACTTGTCATGTTTATATAATCTTAACCAAGCAACTCATATTGAATACAGCAATAAACATTGCTCTGCATCTTTGAAAGGAAATAAGTAGGTTCAGCCTAATAGATCTAACATATAATGAGAAAGGGCTGCAATCTATAATCCAACCTGCTGAAGAGTCAGTAAAAGCTCAGATACTGACTAACTCTTCAAATTGGTCATTAGCTCCTAATTGGGGACCTTCCCTGGCCAACAAACACTTTACTAATTTTTAAAAAAAACAGTGAAATAGCTGATAAAATTTCAATAGGCAACTGTTTTCTGACCACCAAGCAAGGCAATTAAATTGAGAACAGGTTAATTTTGAGTACATGATCAATAAGTATAACAGAAACAAATCAATGAGAAGACCAAAAAAATGTAAATATCAGTAATGGTTTTAGTTTAAGAGTAAAAAACTCAATAAAGCATGAAAAGGATGGGGACTAAGTATGTTTTGATTAAATATGTAAGCTGATAAGCTTTGCTGAGGACTGGGTTTCGGCTCCTTGTCATGACTGATAAGAATAAATCTGAGTTAGAGAGCTGAGCTCAAATTTTAATTATCAACCTCACTAATTCACAACTTTGTGCATATTGTTTATCTTCTCTGAGCTGCACTTTCATCATTTGTAAAATGGGACTAATAAAACCTACTCAGTGGCATTACTGGGAGATTACACCATATTACTTAATAAATATAAAATATCTTTGAATCAATGTTACTTCCATACCTGCAATTCTTTTATAACCATGTCGTTTTGCTCACATTTTATTTATATAATTCTGTGGGGAAATTAGTAAGTCATAGATAGTAACAGGCCTGACTTGGCTTCTCATATGGCATGAAAGGCCTCCCAGCCCTGCATTGAAATGGGGCTCTGAGATTTCTAAGGAAGACAAATACTTTTATTTTACCTAACAAATACTTTCTGGTATATAATCATGGACTACCATGACTATTTGTTTCTGGTAAGATATTGCTGTACAATATGCCTGTGTAGCACAGAGGACAGAAAAGAATGATTTTCCAAACTGTTTAATCATTTTCTATCTTCTCCAGTCTGGATATAAAGAAGTTACAGCAACCATTTACATTACCTGATAATTAGAGCATAAAAATGACCATGAAAAGATAGATGCATAATTGTACAAAATCTTTACACATGGTTATAGTTTACTACTAGATCAGTGATTTTCAACCACTTTCATCTCATGGCACACATAAACTAATTACAAAATTCTGTAGCACACCAAAAAATATATATTTTGCCAATCTAATAAAAATAGGCATACTTTTGATTGATTAAAAAGTAATAATAATAGTAATTACCTACCCTTTTGGTTCCAAAGTGGCATTTTAAAAAATTAAGTGCCTATACTTGTATATAAGGATTTCTGGTACCAGGAATTAACCAATCTTACATAACCTTATTACTCAATATGACCAATAAGATGCAACTCTATTATATGACCTATATATTTAGGGTTCAAGACAGGGTCTTCACGTCGGACGGCTATTGTCATGTTGACTGTTGCCATTGTGTTCTTATTTGACAATCTAAGGGAAAAGAGGCCAGTGTCCCTTACTAAGTAGTCAGGTATTGCATGTTTTAAAAGTTCTTGTGGCACACCAGTTGAAAATCACTGTACTAGATAATAGCTGAAACGAGAGATTGATTATTCAATAAGATTTTTTCCAATAACATGAACAAAAGACTTTTAAAGAGTGTGTGTTAGAGACACTACTTTCTAATTAAGTATTAGAGGTTAATAAATTAGAAGATTGCTTTAAATTCCATATGAAAGATGCAAAAAGTGTTCATTTGATAACATGTGCTATATATGTGTTGTACTTGTTAGAAATTTATCACTGATTATTTCATTTTTATTAATTTAGTGCTCTGAAAAATATCCTGTCTTAGTTGTATTTTAAAATGCAGCAAAATCATACCACATTGTTTCTGGTAGACGCAGCTTCATTTGTCCATCTTTTTCAGGTTTATTCCCTGCTGTCTTGAATCTTGCTACTAATGCTCGCATCACCACAAATGCAACATGTGGAGAAAAAGGACCTGAAATGTACTGCAAATTGGTAGAGCATGTGCCTGGGCAGCCTGTGAGGAACCCCCAATGTCGAATCTGTAATCAAAACAGCAGCAACCCAAATCGTATGTATTTTACTATGTTTCATATGGCAATGGGAAGGATCTATAATAGAGATTTTGAGAAAAAGTTGCATTTAAATGTCAAAGGTCTTGTGATCCCTCAAATTTCTAGAACTTGTCTTCTACTGTGAGCTTTTTAACAGCCTTTCTCCATTGTTTGACAAACATTGGATTTCCTTACCTGAACCAGGTATAGTACTTGAGGAGGGCTTTCTAGCTGAAGACCCGTGGCAGTCAGGTTTACTACCTCCAAAATGGTATCTGAGGATGTGGTTGCTAATTTAGGCTTTAGTCCTTCATTGGCCACTTATGTGCCAGGTACTGTGCTGGGGATCCAGCAGGAATAAGGTGTGGTCCCTGGCTTCAATTAATAAAGAAATGGCCAAAAAGCAGATTGCTAGATAGTGTGGTAAGTACAAAAGAAAGAATGAGCATAGGGGCCTGAGGGAGAGCGGAACGGTCACGAATTCAGTCTTGGTGTATGTGAAGGATTGCCACATAAAGTGATATCTAGACTGAGATCCAAGGACAAGTTTGGGCTGAGCAGCTAAAGAGGAGAGAGAGGGAAGAGAAGAAGGAATGCCAGGAAGAAAAATGAGAGTAAGACAGAAAACCTCACTTGCTCAGGGAACTAGTAGTTAGGAAAGACTAGAACTGAGAGTGGCAGAGGGCAGAGGGTAGAGATGAGTCTGGTGCAGAGGAAAGAACCAGATAATGAAGGCTCTTCACCACCAGAAGAGTGTTGTAAGAACAGATGCCATACAGAGCCACCTCGGAGGCCTGTAAGGAGGACTCCGATACCTCAGACTCATTCATGTTTTCATTCGGCAAGCATTTGAACACCTCCCACTGGCAATGCATTGTACTGAAGCATAATATTAAGTCATACATAGCCCCCGACTTAAGGGACTTAGGGAAAGACAAGGGAAACAGAAGAGTAAATTGAATGCTAAGGGAACACCTGGGAGAAAGTGACCCATGTACCTAAAAATGAAGAGTTAGTTAGATGAAAAGGTGAACAGTATTGTAAAGGAAAAAGCATGCATAAATCTTGAAGGTATAAAACAGCATGATATATTCAGAGAACTATAAGTAATTTAGTTTAACAAGTAAAGCATTTTTATGGAGAAGGGGAGAATGGTGTGAGATGAAGGTTGATTTAGAAATGTGCATTGGGAAATCATTAAATATATATATTGGCGAGGTTAATAAAGTGAATACTTAATGTCAATGAGGTGAGTTATAATGGGATTAAAGCTCAGTTATATTACTTTTAAATTTGCTTAGTGTTCCTTCTCTTTTTGTTTTAAGTTGTAAAACTTATAAAACAAAAAGCTTTCTCTCACAATTTAAATTTTTATGTCAAAAGAAGTTGGGAGGCACTGAGCATTCTTTCTTGCAGCTCCTTAAAAGGAAGAATGCATAGTCCCTTCTCTGTTATCTAACTTAGAGATGATGAAAAAAATATGTTTGGAAAATTGGGACTTTTGTGATTAAAATTGCTGGTCTTATATGTGACAGGGTATTAAAACAAAAATAGTTAAGAAACCAAAGATGGCAACCACCAGAACCTTCCTTGCCTTTTAATGACTCTGGTTATGTTCCGTGATGTAGACTGTTATGTTAGGGTACAGGGGTAGGGTGTGATGTAACACACCCCATCTGTTTGCTATTCTTATATAGCAGGACAATGCAAGGGATCTAACCTGAGCCCTGGGAAAACAGCAAAAGCAAGAGAATGGAACTTAGGGCCAAAAATTAAATCAATTGATGGACTATAAGCTTTAGGTTCATTAGGGAAAATGAAGATGGGGAGGAACTGGTAGCCTTGATGATTTCATAAAGAATGTGAGAAAGCCTTGAGGCTTGGAAATGTTTTGGGGGGAACGGTGGGATCATGTTGGGAGTGTAGAGATGTGCATTTAGGATGGGCTCGGCAAAGAGCAAGCTAGAGTTAGTTAGAGTATGTAAAAGAATGTGTGTGTGGATACATATATACATATCTATTTATCTATCTGTATGTATGTGTATAAACATAAATCCATATACAGGGTGGGGCAAAAGTAGGTTTACAGTTCTGAGTATGCGAAACAGAGTTTATTCTTGTATTATTATTTATTAATTATTGTATTATTTTCCATATGAGCAACTGTAAACCTACTTTCACCCCACCCTGTATTTATAGTTCCTGCCTACAGGTGTGATGTTAGGGTAAATAAGGCTAGGGTACAGAAGGCAATTAAACAGATATTCAAAACAGTAAACTCAGAGGACTTTACCTGCGGTACATATTACAAATGATGTGTTCGAGGAGTAAAGCATCAGTGGGCACTGAAGGAACAAAAGAAAGTTCCAAGAAGGTGGTTAGACTTAGAAGGGCACTAAAAAGCTGAGTTACCTGCTGTAAGAGGGGCAGGCATTCTAGAAAAGGAGGAAGAGAAGAAGTGGGGCCAGTCATAGAGGCAGGTTAGAAGGAAGGTGCAAAGGTGGGGCTGGGAAAAAAAATTGAGTGGAGACTTGGCCGGGAAAATGGATGTGATGCATTTGCTGAATGGAGTCCAAGAGGGACTTTTACTCCCCTCGTTAGAGTTCTGTATTCAGGGTCTCTCTGTCTCAGGGGAAAACATCCATATGTAGGCAGTCCTACTCCATTTTTTCACATTGTGACAAAAAAGCAAATAAACTGTTTCAGTAAAGCAGGAATATATGAGGTATGTTTTGTATTTCTCATTTTTATGTATTTGTGTTTGTATTTTCCATTTTTGTTAGTTGTAGTGTTTTTTAAACTTATCACAGCCTAGATTTACTTTGTGTAATTAATTTTAAATTACGAGCTTCATTACATTTTAAAGTCCTGTTTTAGAACTGGACATTTAGAAAGACTAAAACCCATAAGAATAAAAAACCTAGCAATGATCCACATGAAAATATTTTAGTAGAAGTTGGAGCAACAGATGATAATATTCCACAAATTCAGTTAACAGCTAGAATAAATCTGGAAGGTCTATACTTAATTACATAGACTGTGCTTGCCAATTAAAAACTAGTAGTTGGAAAGTTTTACTTTATCAACAATTTCCTCACCAAATTTTAGATGCTGTTAGCTTTGGATTTACTTGAGTAGCAAGGATGTTATAAGTTTTTATCTCTTGTAAAGACAGGAAATATGCCAACAATTAATCAGTTTTTGCAAATTAATTACTTTCATAATGGGGATTATGGTTAATTGTTAATTCATCTCCCAGCCTTCCTTTTCATAATTCTCATATCAAATTGACCTGAAGTGGCAGATATCAAAATTTTCAATTAGACAGCCAGTTACTTAAGAGCCATAAATTTGATTTGGAAATGTGGTTTTGTGTGTGTGTTTTCCTATCACACATTAAACCCACAATCTGTAAAGAAGATTCAAGAGGATGTTGAGGAAATGTTTGCTGTGATATTTATTTTTCTTCAGAAGCGATGCCAGTAATATTTCATTTATGAGTTCTGAGTCACAATGGGCCAATTTCATCACCCACTCATATCACGCAAGGGCATTTATTTGATATTTAGTTATGTTTCTGGTATTTGTTGTCATTATAAAGAACTGACACCTTCCCTAGCTTCAAGAGAACAAGTTAACTAGGGTTAATTATTCAGTATATACAGCAATTTTACTTTTCATTAATGAGATTGGATGCCTCATCTCAATGGACTGCTAATGTAAAAAGACTTGTTACAAAACAAAGTCCATACAGTTATTTAGTTAAATAATTTACTAATAAAAATTAATTATTTTTGTCGTATCCTATAACACATATTACCATAAGTAATTCAAAGACATAAGGGTTTATGTTTTTGGCTAAACAGGTGATAGCAGACTATGTTAAGACAATTAATGTGTAATAAAAATGTTCACAATCTGAAAATGGCGAATTTATTGAATATTAAGTTGTTAATATTTTTTTCTTTTGAAGATGATTTTACTTTACTATTATAGTTTTATTGCAATGAGGACTTCATTTTGTTTGATTTTTATGTTCATATGTTTTGTTAAGTGTAATTTATCTCCAATTAAAATTCAGAAGAGTCTATGTTTTGAACAGGTATATAATTAATTTTATGTATATGCATAATAATGGTTATAATATCAATAGTTGTAATGTTCCTCGGATAACCATCTGAGTTGAGAATTCCCATCCAAGGTATTTTTACTAGTCAATTGCAAAATGAAAAAATGAGAACAAAATTCCAAATTTTTCATAAAAAAAAGGGAATACCTTAAAAATTATTCTTTATTGTTTATTATGGTTTTTATAAAACTTTTGTTGCTTTTAAATGTCCTATTTATTTTATGAAACAATAGTGGTGGTAAATTAAAAGATAGTAAAAGTATACAGGCAGCTACTATTACTTGGAGAAATAAAGAGCTTGGGTTCCTGTATTGATTCCACAAATCTTTCTCACACATATATTTTTTCCTTTTTTTTTTCTGAAAATTAAGAATGTGGGAGCCACTATAGTGGACTTTTATTTTCTCTACTTCAAGTATGACACACAGAGTTTAGGCGACTTGTTCATGGCCAATTAAGTACTAAATGGTGGAACTAGGTGGACTGTCTAGCTTCTCAGACCCCAGATCTCCATATTGCAAACCATGTGCTCTTCTATCACCGTTATCACTGCCTGACTGGATCACTGTAGGCACATCCAGAGTCCATGGTTGTTCCTCATGGTAATATGGTTTGTTCATGTTTTTAGGTCTTTCTTCAATTTGCAAAAAAAATTTTTAAAAAAGCATTCTGATCTGAAAGGTTATTGTTAGGCCTACATTTGAAACACCTTCCCAGAGAATTAGTATCATAAAAATTCTCAAGGCTGAATGAAACCTCAAGGCACCCTTCATCCATAAAGAACAGAAGAGGAGCAGGGAAGCTAATCCCCACTTTATTGACGTTTCCATGGGAAAATAGGCCCACTGCCAAGCCAGAGGTCAGGAAGCCAAGTCCCTTTAATTCAGTCCTGGGGATAGAAATGGGAACATCCCACGATCTCCACTCCCACCAGTCTCACCAGTTCAGGAGCTGGGC